CTGCACTCTACCTCCTTTGGGCCTCATGCCTAGTTGGACCAACAAGATTGAGGGAGGCCACAGAATGCTGGATGACAGTTAAGGGTGGAGAGTAAAGAACCAGGGATAGAAAGAGGATGGAATAGAATATCCTAGAAAGGGTCATGGCTCACTGGCACACTGAATAGATGCACTGCACACATCAACTTGTTGCAGACCCCACTTACAAGACTTGACAGTGATGAAATAACATATAACCATTCCAATTAGGCTATTAAGTTCCCATTAAAAGCAAGATCCGCTTCTTCCTACAATCAGCAACTTGAAAATCATACAAGAACATGGCACAAGCGTCATAATATGCTATTAATAATAAATATGCTCCATAAGCTAGGCAAAGTGAAAGAAAGAGAATGCAAGAGTGCAAGCTACCTTGGCAGTTTAAGATAACTGACATCATATAGCCTTGGTGACTCTGGGTGTACTATAACATTATTCTTATAGAAATTATGTGGTTATTGCAACATAATTATTCCAATCAGTACAACAGTAGAGGTAGACTGAGTAAATACCTGTCTCTGTGGGAGCTTCTCTACCATAGATCAACCTATATATCTCTCAGAACTTGGGGCACCCTTTCTATGGAAGAGAAAGACATTTAAATGAGTGCCAAATGTATTAACTGGAAGACTGAAGATACTTTGATCAGAGAAGTATTCCAGGAAAGGAATGACAATCAGCTTAGGCATTAACATTTTAACAAGGCATTCTGAGAAAACAAAAGGAGGATTTGTTTGCTTAAAAAATCACAGCTATGATTTGAGCAGAAAAATACAAATTCCAAAATACAGAATATCCTACCCCTTGCACAGCATAATTTCTCAGTATATGCCACCACACCCAGCAGTACATTCTGGGTTGGATCCAGAGTAGCACTTAATGAGTTTCACTCAAGCTGGCAGAAGGGGTGAAGAGATGAAATCTTCTGGATTCCCCCTTTCCTCTACACCCCCTTCACTGTCTGGAAAGTTGCTTGAGGAGGCTGGCTCTCTCCTGCACCCAGAACAACATGAGGAGAGATGCAGGGGCTGCAGGGAAAGTTCATGAACCACCTCCCCACCTATTCTGTTCAGCAGGATCCTTCTGTTCCTGGAATGGCCACTCTGTGATAACTGCAGGGAAAATGTTCTACCTCTGCAACAGCAAGTTTCCTTCTGGGAGGATATCTGAATTCTACACAGCAAATCCATACCTGGTGTGCGCATGTGAGTGTTTGCATGTGTGTGAGTGAGTGAGTGTATGTGAATAGATAATCTAGATTTCCCTTACACGAAGTGTGTCCAGTTACCTGAAGATCTGAAAAGAAAGAGCTTCAGCTGGGTGAATGGAAGAGATAGGAGCACTGCAAATTTTTTGCAGAACATCTAGGGAACAGACTTGGCAAATGGACTTTGATTTGCCTGTTAAATTTTCAGCTCAAGGTTTCTCTGACTTTTGTTCTGAAGTTCTCTGTTTCTCTATGTACTGCTATTGGCCTTGAGATACGCATTCTTTGTTATAAAAAGAAGATATAAAAAGAAATCTTTGAAGCAACCTTCAGTATAACTGCTCTGTCATTCAGCTGTAATGCTCAATATTGATGGGACTCATAATCAAGGGTTGTTTCTGGCACCACACTTTATCTCCGGGCATATTTAGCTAAACAGCTTCTGTAAGCTTAGGCTGTGTTTTCTGAATAGTTCTGATCCAAACATGTGTCTATATATTCAGCTATGTGGAAAAAGCCAACGAAATTATCGAACTGCCACTTTTCCTGCTGCTTTTTATTTGTTTGCAGCAATAATAAACTTCTGTAGGGGCTACTTACGTAGGGCACCAAGGTGTTCAAACTGATTCATATTCATAAGCTGTATCCACATATCACTTTAAACCATAACGATAACTTAATAAGCTGGAACGTGCACAGGGGGATTGCTCCTACTTTCCCCTCTATCTTTGTATATGTGGATAAAATAACCATGAAAGGGAAAGGATCCTATTTGTTTCTTTCAAATAAGCCAGGATCCATTGGCCAAAAAGAACTCAAAGCTCTCCTTTCCTGAACAAAGGGAAGAGCATGCGGGAACATTCTGTTCCTTCATATTCTGGTTTATTAAGCCATCGTTCATGGCTTAAAGTCACTTAAAAATGCAGCCATATTGTTCCCATCATTTATTTAGGATCATGTGTACTTTGCACTGGAAATTTTTTGTCCAGGCAGTCCAAACTGTATTCCAAGAAAAGCTGAATTCATATTACCTATCCTGATTGAGCAAACTCTGCACCATCTATCTCCTTTTGCAACTTCCGTTTGTATTTTGCATTCGTCCTTGCTTTACTAGCAAGGGTGGGGACAAGGATGGCAGCTGCATCTCCACCTTCCTGGATAAATTTTATTAAATCTTTTTTTTTTTTTTTTTTTTTTTTTTTTTGCAGGGGAGTTGGGAATGCACTTTCAAACGCATTATTGCAGGCATAAGGCCTAGAACATTTTGAGTCCTCAAAATGTTCTGCACCCATCCTTATAAATCCCACTGAGTTTAATGAGCCTACCTCCCAAGCAATTGCATAGGATTTTAGCATCAATAAATGAGTTTGAAGAACAATATTGCAGTTCCATTTGTAAGATGAACAATATGTTGGTGCTGAATATCTTAAGGGCTAGAAGCTTGTAGTCCCCGTGTACAGATTTTAGCCTATATACCCTTACATGGTTTAGGACCACAATACCTGTCTGAGTGCATCTCCCAACTGCAATTTATGCAGACAATATGCTTGACCTCTGAGGTCTTTTTCTGAGTGCCAAATCCAAGGGAAGTGGAGAGGATGGCAACAAAGAGGAGGGCTTTCTCAGTGGTGCCTCCCTTCTATGGAATAACCCTCCCATTGCAGTCTGGCTGGTGCCAAATGTGTAAGTTTTTCAGCACAGCCTCTTTTCGAGGCTTTTAAAGACTTACTTGGCCACCCAGGAGCTTGAGGGGGGTAACCAGGTACAGTATGTAGCAGAGTCACTCCGTTTTGCTATTCCTTGTTATTGTCTGGAATATCTTATGTTTTTAGCTATTTAAAACTTGTTAATGCTTTTTCCCTGATTGTATGATATTTTATTGCATCTGTTTTTATGGATTGCATAAACTTCCCAAAGAGCTTCAACTGTGGGGTGGTATAGAAATGAAATACATAATAAAAGTAACCAGACATCAATCAGTGATGGCATCTGGTATCTGTGCAAGAAAACCTATTTTTTCCATATACATAAGAACTGTCTTAATCTCCCACCAGTGCAACATTCCTTTCTTTAATAATACTATATGAAATGAATGTGAACATAATAAACATCTCCATCAAACTAATCCCACAGACATTTTAAATTAGTATCCATGTCTTTTCTCCTGCAGGTAGATCTAGATCACAGTATCTAAGACAATTTCTTTCCTCCTTCTCTCTCAAAAATAAAACAATGGGAGGAGGGAATGTCACTGTACATCATGCATAGTCAAGCCTTAGTCATCGGTCTATCCAAAATGCTATCTTATAATTCCTGTCGAACTTTCAGAACCCACGCTGAATCTGCATGTTTTTTCTTTAAGAATTCCAAATAAAGTCATACAAATCTGTCCGTCAGTGAAGGCCTGGCTATTTCCTGAAGTGCATCACTTACCATGAAATCCTCCACATGTCTACTCTAGAGTAAGCCCAACTGCATTAATGTGTCTTACTGCCAGGAAAATTTACAGTTGCGGCCTATAAAAATCAAACTCTTTCCATTATGTTAACAAACTGCATATTGACTGTAGATTATACTTTATTTGGATCTACCAGCGCATCCAACATGCACTGTTCTCACTGTTCTCACTTTATTTTTATTGCAAAAATAAAGAGCACCTACCTAAAGAGAAATTTCCCAATAGGAACATTTTAATGGTTAAAAATCACCATCTCCCATCTTAGAATCATTGAAAAATTGTGAAAAAAATCCAGTCATGTACAGAAATGATAATAGAGTTTATAACACTTTCTCCAATGTAAAATACATGTGTGAAATGTTACTCCAAAATCTAACATCTCATTTCAAACTGCTGAATTGCAAGTAACAAGACTTTTAATGAAACCAACAGCACCAATGTAGAAAAACACGAGCTATGGTTCAAGGCTTCAGGAATGGAAAAGCTAGATGCAAGCTTGCCATTTACCTCCTCTTCTTCCATTCTTTGGGACCTGCTCTAGCCTGCTCTGCTCTGTTCTTCTGAGGTCAGTTCAGGAATCTTGAAGTGTCATATACACAGCCCATTCAAAACCATACATCAGATTGGTTATACTAGCCCATCATAAACTTAATATTACAAATGATGATCAGCAGCAAAGTCCTACTGTTTTGCTTCCACAGCCACAAAAACAAGGGAAGGGAAGGATACAAGAAAGTGGTAAAGAAAAACAACCATTTGCATTTTTAAATCATACAAAGTTTTCTTACTACACTTGTTACCACGGCTGGTGTTGGTTACATATCTGAAGAATTTAGAATCCTGGCATTCCGCTTGGCCAGCAACAATGATACTCTTGACCAATTTCTAACCCATATGGCTGCCTAGGAATTCTACTCCAGCTGTTGCTGGAAGAGAAAGGGGGCTACAGAGCCAGTAACTGATGTGCTGTTGAACATATGGTAAAGCCATCTCTGCTGTTTTGCTCGTTCAGCAGGCATGAAGAAGTCTGTTCTATGATACACAAACAAAAAAGAGACCAAAGCTGCTGGAGTTACTCTGGATTTAAACCTGGTTTAGATAGCATGAGTTTATCCCTTTGTTTGCCCAGAAGTCAGTTGCTGTTCAGTTATCCAATAAGGACCACGTAGGTGGCTACCAACTCTTACCATCAGTACATAGTGGAAGACTCAACTCCCCCCTGCAACAAACTATGTGCTATGCACTCTGATTCTTTGCCTCCACATAAAGAGGAGATCCTCTGGCATTTCTACTTACCCACACCTCTCAGGCTGAGCTCAGACCCTTCAGTAGGGCTGGTCTGCTGCTGTGCATCACGTGCATTCTCCTCTTTAGGGAGGCAGGTCCTCTCTTTCTCACCCTGTCGCCTGGTAGGAAAAGAAAGCATATCAGGGCTAGTCTTTCCATACTTTTTTAATATGTGCAACAGATTCATCAGTAAATCACACAGAAAATGTCTTATGCAAATTGTTCTGGCTTTTGTTCAGAACTTCCAAGCTACTCCTTATGAGGAAACACTGACTTCCTTGGCCTAAGATGCCCACACACATGACACGAAGTGTTTCAGCTGATTTAGGCTGTACCGACTTTAGTATATGGAGAAGCAGCCATGTAATTGTTGCACAAAGGAACTTCCACTTATAGTTCACCACATTTTTAGCATGTCTCTCAACAAACAGCAGGAACATGACAAATGCGGGGTGGGGTTAGGGTTCACATCCTGCAACCCATTTACTATGTGTAAATCTCTGCACAGATCCAGTTAAACTTATGTCTTAGTATGTTTGGGCAAACAAGAGTTGGGCACTTACTGCTTCAGCAGAAAGCCACTGACAAGAATTCCCTGGCCTTTCTCCTCCTCTTCACCATTGCATCTTACTTCTTCATGAAACAATGGCATTGGTGAAGAGGAGGAGCAGCAGATGTCATTGCCTACTTGATCTCTGGCTCCCTGCCTGTCAAGCAGGCAAGTGACTGCAAGTGAGAAAAAGCTAAAGAAGCAGGAACAGTTAGTGGCAATGGGCGTGCAAGGATGTACTTACTGAGAAAGGAGGGTCAGTGAGGTTTTGTCCAAGGGCCCTGAAAATCTAGAAGCAGCACTGCTTCCTCTGAATGTTATCTACCCACTTTGTGTCTAGCACTGCACTCAAAAGTGAGGTAGGTTCTCTTATTACTCCTTCTCCTACCTTTGGCTCATACATTCTGTGCATATGACAAGATGTGTACTTTCCCCTTTAAAAAAAGACAGGATGTGTGGGGGAAACTACATTTCCTGTGGGAGAAGGGGAGCAAATCAGGGACCAGCCCTTCTTTCCATCCCTTAAGTTGGCTGATTCAGACTGATTTATCCAGGAACCTGTAGCTTCAGACCCTGTAATTTTATAGAGTGACACTTACCTATAATGGAAAGGGGCTACAGTGGCCATGATGGGATGGCTTTGTTGTGGCACAGAAGAAAAGCTGATTGGTCCAGCATGTAGAATAGGGCCCTTATTAAGGTTGCTTGTGTCCAGCGAGATCACTTGAGGTTTATCTTCTGGCTTGCATGTTCCACTTCCTTTGCAGCTGGTTTCGGACGCCCACTGATCTTTCACTGGACAACTCTGAGGTCTCTTTGTGGTGGGTCCCTCAGAAGACCTGGACAACAAGGTCTCACTATACAAGCTGAGATAGGAAGGACTCTTTCCAGGGATGTGGGATGATTTTGCAGGTTCTGAAGCTGGGCTGGCCTTCCCAAGACCCTTTTTAGCACCAAGGCTGCTGTTATCTTCCCCTTGTTTTGAGGTATCCTTAACCTTCTCTGTTGCCTGAATAACAGCTTTCTTTGCTGCTCCAGCAGCTCTGGAACTGGCCTTCAGAACCACCCGGGGGCTGCTGCAGCCAGATGTCATGCTCAAACTGGAACTAGGGTCCATCCCGTCAGCTCCACCATGGCTTTCAGTTCCCTCTGCCTGTACAGGGCTTGCAGCTGCTGGAGGCTTGAGAGGGAACTTCTGCTTGGATCCTTTAGGAGCTCCACTGCTTGAACTAACCACACCCTTCCCTGTTCTAGGTGATGATGTCCTCTGAGACGGAACAGCTCCTGCACTGTTCTGCCTTGGTGGCAATTTTGGAGATGCTGTAAGTGTGTGTATCTTGCTGTGAGATGCAGCTCTGGGAACAGGTATGGAGGAGGCATAATGGCTACGTCCAGCTGCATTCACATTGGCTGTTCCATTCATCATCAGGAAGGCTTGGTTGGAGAAGGGTCAATCTGAAAGATGAGAAATGCAGAGCAAGTTAAGGGTGGCACTTCTGGGGCCAGGTCTACCTATCTACCAGGTATATCAGATTTTTCCACATTGTTAATCTCTGTCCAACTTTCTGTTTACTGATCACACATTTATTTTTTTTCATGTGACTGTTCCTCAAGAAGGAAGGCTGCTGCCCACATTATATCAGTGACAAAGTCCAGCAGCTAAGAAAATGAAACAGGTTCCTTGGATGTGCCAAAATTTGTTTACAGTTTTCAGTGCCTTCATTTCGTCCATGGCATTTACATCATGTAAGCAAAGTGTGTATTGTTCAGTTGTCATGTCTTAAAATGTTTACAAGTATTCCAATAAAAAAGATTTCCAAGTAAAGGTTAGAATGTGTTTTGATAGAAGCATTTAAATCATAATAAGTGGACTCCATTGATTTTTCTTTCCAATAAAATCTTGCCATTCATTTTTTCAAAAAATTGGTGAAAATACCTTTTCAGTTATTTATACATCACAGCAAATTAATATAGTGTATTTTTGTTTGTTTGACTGATTTACTAATATATTCATTCATACTAATTTAGCATGGAATATGTTAAATAAGATCCAAATCAACTGAAGGTATAAAAATCCAATAAACACAAATTACCAGGAAGACTAATTTTAATTATTTGTTTTGCATTATCCTACACAAACAATAAAGTGTTTTCTGTTTCTTATTTCTATGTTGTTAGTAACTAGGGAAATTCAGTTCTGATAAACAGGATACTTTCTTAACTTTTCCATTTCTTGATTCTAGTACACAAGCAGCTGAGGGCAGATGTGAAACAGACCCTCAAACTGCCTCAAGGTACGCTCTCACATTAGATAGCAGCTGGAAACTTGCAAATCACAACAGGCTCGCAAGTCTATTTCTCTCCATGGGAAATCCCACTACTTCCAGTGGTCAGGTAACAGTCACTATGTGGCTCAGAGGAGGATTACACAAGCAATGCAATCTTTTACCCCAAGCCAATGTGTTGTGCTCTTCTAATGTAGAAAATGCAGCCTCTGCAGCTTGAATACTACCAGGGAGACAAAGTGATGATTGTGTAGCCAGGATAGAAATGTGCTTCCAATTTTATGGTTGATGTTATATTCACTGTTCATTTTTATTATCAATAGATTTCAAATGACATAAAGATGCTCCTAAGATTCAAAAGCGTAAACATGTAAAGCAGAAGTGGTGACAAAAACCTCTATCACAAAGTTACCACCATTTATGTAACCATCACCACACTTCTCTGTACCACTAAGGGCACAGTCCTATGAATGCTTAGACAGGTCAAAGTCCTACATTACCCAGCATGCCCAGGCCCAAAATCAGCACACAGCATCCTTCAGCCAAGGGCTGAGGCCCAGGGCACATGCGTGGTGGACGCTGCCACCCTGTGCTCCTTTCTCCCTGCACACCCATGAGCATGACAGAGCTGCTGCTGCAAGTACCCACGATGTTCCAGAGCAAAAACAAGCAGCCTCTTTCAGCCCAAGAGGCAAATTCCATCCCAGAGAAGCTCTCAGGAGGCACATTCCAGTGGTGAGCAGGGCCAACGGGAAAGGAGGCAGGACCAGGAAGAGCAGAACATTGTAGCCCACGGCTCTTTCCTGCCAGTTGCCAAACCATTTCGCCACATTCAGAATGGAGAGAAAGCTGCACAAAAACTGGGGAACCACCAAAGAGTTGGCCAGGGGGAGCAACACTGAAGTGTCCACTTGGGATTCCAAGCAGGACATATTTGTCCCAAGGCTTGAAGTTCTCCACCCTCATCACAGAGCCGTACTACATCACTCAGGAGAATTGTGGGAAATTGCAAATGGCAACTGCCCAGCAGTCCAGGGAGAAGCATCAGCACTTCACCACCAGCACCTTCCTCCTCACCCTTCCACTTCCATGGGAAAGGCCTCTCACCTGCCACTTGGATATAAGGTATAAAGGGTGAGTCATGATGCCACCCAACATGGGAGGGAGCCCGTCAACACAGCAGGGCCTGCATTTAGAGCATGTGAATTCTCTTTCTAGATTCTGTCACAAATTGGGACACATGAGAATGACTGGAACTTGTTTAGACCACACCATCAATGTCTGTTCTTTTGTTCCATCATGAGTACAAAAGACAGGCTCCTGCATCCACAGAGCTTCTCATCTAAGGCTAATCAATACACTGTCTGGTCAGTATTGGTAAGTTCTGTTGTAGATATGGTGGAGGAGGGAGAATACCACTAACAAGCATTGAAAAATGTCATAGGACAATGCCACCTGCCAGGAAGAAGTGCACTAACTGCTGTTGTCCTTTGTGACGTGGCATCCACCCATTTCCTTTAATGCAATTCCTGGCAATTCCCTGCTGCACTGGTCTGTACGACTTTTTCCAAGGACCCCCATGCAAAAGTTCTATTCCCAATGCTCTGCTTAAAGATCCAGCAATCTCCACTCCATGCTGCTTCAGGCCTAACTCTACTAAAGGGAAATTAGATGCTGGAAACAAGTTTTAAAAGCACAAGAAGAGTTAAGTTTTAAAACTCCTCAGTAGTTGGACTAAGGCATGTTCACACAGTGGCCAGTCTGTAGGCCACAGAACTCTCCCTCTTATGATCTCTAGTAACTGATACGCAAAGATCCAATACAAGAGGCAGAGTACAGCCATCACAACTAGCAGACATGGATAGCCACATCCCCCACAAAATTGACTAGTCTCCTATTGAAACCACCCAAACCATTGGTGGCCATCAGTACATCCTGAATTCCAAAAATTAATTATGTGCTATATAAAGAATTTTTTTTAGCTCTTGTGGACTTTCTTGGAAATGGCTCCCCAATTATGAAACTACATAAATTTGTCAATGCTGCTGTGCCCTAGAAGAGATGGTCACACAACTGACTGAAGGAGGGACCACCTTTTAAATGGTTTCACCCAGGATTTAATTCAGGACATAAATATTGTTGAATCAACTGGAAACAGGGACCACAATGCTACCAGATTTAATATACTTTCAAGCGGAAGGTCCAACATAGTCACATTTGACTTCAAAAGAAGAAAATTCTCATTTCGACTAGATCCTGAGGTCATCTCATGAAGCTGATTGATATGGCTTTAGAGCAGATAAAAAAATAATTTCTTCATGCGGCATATGGTTAAACAATCAAATGCACTTTTAAAAGATGGAGGGATGACCAGCAGTTTGTACATCTTAACAAGAGAATTAGACAAATTCATGGTGGATAAGACTCTCAATAGCTACTAGTCCTGATGGCAACAGGTTACCAGCAGTATCAGAGGCAGTGCACCTGTGCAGTCCAGTTGCCAGGGAATATGGGTGGGAGGGCGCTGTGGTATTCATGCCCCGCTTGTTGGTTTCCCATGGGCAGCTGCTTGGCCATTGTGCTGGAACAGGATGCTGGACTAGAGGGGACCTGGGTCTGACCCAGCAGGGCTCTTCTTCTTCTCCCTGGCAAGACCTGCCCGGCACCAGCACCCCAACCCTTTCAGGGCCAGCTGAGGATTTCCCTCTATTTCCCGGCATTTGACAGCATATAACAAGATTTTAACCCATCCTTGATTTTTTTAAAAAAATACTGTCAATTGTTTTAAAATCTTCTTGCATTTAAATGTTTTATATTATACATTGTATGTTTAAGATTTTAATCTTTTGTAAACTGCTAAGAGAGCTTTGGCTGTAGGCCAGTATTAGAATGTGATAAATAATAATACGATAATAATATCTGTCCTGAACCTCCCACCAGTTTCCCACTATTCAGCTTCATGGGGTGATTCTAGGTTCAAGCATTATGAGAGAAGGAGGGAAATGCTTTCTTGTCCACTCTCTCCACGTTATGCACCACACACTTTTCTCAAGGCTTTTGCACGGAGAAAGGCTCCTGCCTTACAGCCCTTCCTGCATTGCAGCAATTTGCCCTGCCACTCATTCTCATCAAACTCCCTGCATTGCAGACCAGCGCCAGCTGCCCTTTGAAGGAAGAGCCTGAAAGCTGAGATGAGGGGAGGGAGAGAGGGTACTCACCCAAACCATGGGCTACACAGAGCCCCTACTGCTCACGTGCTGCAGCTCCTGACGTGCAGGAATGCAAGATCAGGGAGTTCAATCCCAGTTTCTCACCAGATGTTTGCTGACTGAAACATCCTTCTCTCGCATGCACAGGACTGTGCACAGCCTGCCAAGCAGTTATTCTGGAGCTACGGGCAGGATGGCTCTTCAGTACTAAGCTAATTTATGCTGCTAAGCCTTGCTGGTGATGCAGGTTCAGCCACCTCTCTCGCTCTTCTCAGACCATCAGGTATTACATTATTGATTGCTTCTTAACAACAAAGCCTTTCTGCTTAAAGAAAGGAAGGCAAATCCTTTCCACTTGTCTCCACATTCCCCAGCCCTCTCTTCCACGGGTTCCTCCAGCTGCTGTCTTGGCTCCAAGCTTGCTCCATCTGGAAGGGCAGGAAAGAGAGCAAGTTCCTCAAAGGAAGTTTGCTCTGGGATGTGTGTGTGTTTAATGGTACTTCAGTTATGCTACTCCCACTGGATCATTTTTTGAGATGCAAGAATAATCCACGGGAAGAGACATATTCTAGAAGCAAGAGGAAGAACCTCCCAGGTCCGGACCTGCTGTACAGCCACATAGCCAAGCTACTGTATCTCTATCAGTCCCCCTGCCCCCACCTGCAAAAAGGCTACCTCCTGCACATCTGCGTACCTTTGGTCTGGCCAGTTCAGCTTAAAGCACATAGCTCCATGTCTGGCCTGTTTGTCCATGAACACAAGTCTGGCTCATTTTTATCATCTGCAATAAAGGAAATCCCTCACAGGCCTTGAAGTGACATGGCTTTATCTCCTTCCCGGTCACAGCAAGATAACCCACAACTTTCCCACACAAGTATTCAAGGAGTTACACATTTCAGACCTAACCATGGAGCAAAATTGAGCTAAAGGACAAGATGGAAAACTTCTCCTTTCCATGTAC